GCACCACCAGGATTCTTGTTTATTATAACAAAAGAATAAAAATCAGAACTGGACAAAGGAAGGGAAATGTAGGGCAAGGTCTGGAAGATTCCAACTGCTGAGGCTTTGTTGTTCTCAGAGATACTTTACCTTCTCAGCACCAAAGTATAACATTACTCAAAGTGGATTGCCAACCAGGGAAGCTCACCTGAGCCTTTGGTGTCCAAAGTTTTATTGAGGCTCCATCACACGCTGCTCTCATAGCTGACCCTTTGTTTCCAGCTCTTTCTGGATGTTGGCCTGATACCTTTAATCTCCAGTTCCTCTGGAGGTAAGAGCTAATATGACATGGTTCAAAGCCTGCATCATCAGCACATTGTCAGACTGTCATCATCAGTCACATTGTCAGACTATCTAGTGGCTTTCAAAGTCTTCAAAGACATTCTATAAGGAGGATATCCCAGAGGTTTAGAGATAACCTCCCAGTAGCCAAGGGTAAAGGCCAGACCTCTCATCGGGTATGGTTAGTTTTTCTCTACAGAGATCCCCAACAAATCGTTTGTTTTGATTCCAAGTGAGTGCTAAAGTTATAGGCTGCAAGATTCATTAAAACAGGCTAACAGTAGCCAGTAAATAAAAACGTAGTGTTATTTATCAAATGATCTATCACATCTGAATCTACTGTCCATTCAGTCCTCATCCAGTGGGGCAAGAAAGCCCTAAAGATAAATGTTATTTTCTTTGTTAAAATATCTATTAAATATGTGATCATGAATTGGAAGATAATTCTATCATAGAGCCTTATCTCCCAAATTTCTTCCAAAGACAGAAGCTAGTTTTGGCATTATTTGTAGGATATTTCCAGGCTCTTTTATTGTGTTGAGGACTGAGGGAGAAAAGGGATAGTATATTTTTTTGAAAGTGCATTCACTGGCATATTGAATAGAGTCCTTAATAGCTATACCAAGTGGAAAATTTAAGAAACATTGATTCCAGACAAGTCTTTGACTCTGATTAATAATAACTGAAGGTACCTAAGGAATCCTTAATTATTTAAAGCTCTACAAAATGTGCTTGCAGGGGTTTTTTTTTAGGTATTAAAGGGGCTTATTGCACTGTTTAGCTGTAGTAAAACAGGGTGTAAGGAGTGGTTTTAGGGAAATGGGAATGGTTTTAGATGTCAGGGGACATCTAATTATACTAATATATTTAAATAATCATTTAAATAATCAGAACCTATGATAATATAAGTGGAAGTATAAAATTTATTGAGGTATTTAAAAATATATTAAAAAGTTAAAAATTGTTTTAATCAATATTCATTTCCCATTGCTCAATCCCTATTGTAGGGGCTAATGTGGGAATCTGCCATATTCTTGGTAATTATTATATTGAATTCCTTTAACTACGTGTTACAGCCTCCACCACTTGAGCTGAACCAGTAAACAGTAACATAAAATCGTTTATTCTTTTGACATGTTTACTGACTATTTCCTTAAAACTGTCACAATTCTACCCTGATAAAGCCCTTAACGTGTCTGGCTTTTCCTCAATCAGCTATATTTGGGCTTGAAACAGTGCTGTGCTTGCTGGCAGCAAGGCTGAAAGTGAAATCAGAGTAAATTACACTCTTTCCTTATTATGCAAAGGAAGGCTAAAAATCAACTCTTCCAGAGAGAAATTTTTTTTTCCTAGTAATAAACAACAATAACAGGATGATGTATAGCACTGGGTGAATCAGCTACAAAGAACTTCTTTCAAGTGATGAAGAGCAAAGATGTCTCCTTGAGGACTAAGGTGCACCTGGCACAAGCCATGGTATTTTCAATCACCTTATATGCATGTGAGAGCTGGACAATGAGTAAGGAAGACCAAAGAAGAGTCAGTTTTTCCAAACTGTGGTGTTGGCGAATTATGCTGAAAGAACCATGGACTGTAAAAAGAACTAACAAATCTGTTCTGGAGAAAGTGCAGCCAGAATGCTCCTTGGAAGCGAGAATGGCCAGACTTCATCTCACCTACTTTGGTCATGTTGTCAGAAGGGATCATTCACTGGAGAATGATGTCATGCTTGGTAAGGTAGAAGGTCAATAAAAGAGGGGAAGGCCCTCAATGAGATGAATTGACACGGTGGCAGCAGCCGTGAGCTCAAGTGTAACAAGGACCATGGAGCTGGCGCAGGACCGGGCAGTGTTGGTTCTGCTCGCACTATGAGTCAGAGACGACTCGAGGGCACCTAACAACAACAGTAATAAATTCTAAAAGATAAGTTTATTTAGTGAAATTTTAATTAAGAACACTTATTTTTTTATGGAAAATTAAAAGATAATATAAAAATTTCAACTCTTTTTAAGTTGGGATTCCCAAGAAACTAATCTGGTAACTATTTGTCACCTCTGGGGACAAAGTGATTTGAGTATTTCTTTTATTGTGATGCATTAGGACTTCATTAATAGAGAGCCTTACAAGTGGGCTATCTTTTTTTGGAGCCAGATCACCCTGTGCCATATAAAGAGATAGGGAAATACAACTAACAGCCTTTCTTTGGCTGACTTTTACTTAGCATGAACTGTTCAAACTGCGTCAGTGTTGCCGAAAGGTACACAAGGGGGAAAATAATTTAAAAGGTTTGTTGCATTTGAACCCTAGGTAAATTCTATAATTTAAATATAAAGCACTGTGGCCTGGGAATAGAGAAACAGCAACTTTCATTTGCTGTTGGACAGAGTGGAAACTAGTGCAACATTTTTGGAAGGCAATTCAGGAACTGTTATCAAAATTTACAGTCCCTTTACCCAATGACTGGGTAATTACACATACTGACAAGAAATTGCCACTTGATCCCTGTTGAAGGACAGCAAAATAGATTTATAAGGGTGTTCATTACCGCATTTTGGAAACAGCAAATGAAAAAAAAATTAGAAAATTTAAATACATAATAAAAAAGGGATGGTTAAATATTATATATAAATATAGATATATAAATATATATATAGATATATATATAATGGAAGGTTTTGATCAAAGATACTATAGTAGAATCCTGGTCAAAAGGGAAAAATGTAGAACAGAATTTCAAATTCTCATGGTACCCAGACTTTCAATGGCTCAATGGAGCCATTGAGGCTAGGTGAACCCTAGAAGCTACTACTCTGACACAATTTTTAAACTTTAAACCAAGCAATAGTTTAGCTTGAAAAATAAAGAATAGGTACCTTGAGCATTGTGCTATTTTGAAGAACTATCTATATAGGATCAAGTTGACAATGGCACCTTATAAGTTTGGTAGGAAGCTTAGAGGGCAGTGAGCTTATACTAATGGGGTAGAAACAGTTTGGAAACAGAGGGTGAGAACAATTGCACAACTTGAAAATGTCACCAGAGTCGATGAATTATACATGTAGAAATTGTTGAATTGGTTAGTGTTCTGTGTAAATTTTCAACAATAAAAAGTTACTTACAAAAAGAAAGGAGTATGAGGTAACATTTTTTATGCTGATAAGAAAAGGACTCCAGGATGTATCAGCAATTAAATAAGCCATACATAGACTATTGTGATGACTATTTTGAATAATTTCAAAAAAACAGAAAGTCTACATATAAAGCTTTATGTAGATGTATTGATATATATATACATATATATATATATATGTATATTTTTAGAGGGAGAGGTTTGACATGAGAATAGATTGTAGGAAGCATTTTCTTTTCATTTGATAACTTTCCATAGGATTTGATTTTTCTAACCATGTACATGATATACTTTTATTAAAAAAAGAAAACAATATGAGTGTTTTGTAACAACTTATTATTATTTTATATATATTTCATTCTTTTAAGTGTGTGTGTGTGTGTATATACATATACATATACATATACATATACATATATATATATGTGTTGTTGTGTTTGTTGTGTTTGCCATCAAGTCAGATCCAGCCCATAGGGACCCCTCCTTGGGTTTCCGAGGGGGTATTGCTACAGAAGTAGATTGCCCAACCTTCCTTCTGAGGAGTGGCTGGTGGGTTTGAACCGCCAGCCTTCTCGTTAGCAGTCAAGTGCCTTAGGCACTATGCCACAAGAGCTCCCATATATATATATAGATATATATACATATATCTATATATATATATATGTACTTAAAAAGGCCTAATGAATAAAATTTAAAAGAATAGTAGAACATTTTTCTTGAGGCTTCCGAGGCATGAAGCATGAAAAACACTAGCCTTTGAAGCACTGTATTTTCAGGAAATCAACTCAAGCTTTCTCTGTGAGGTTCTCATCACAACAAAAATCCACCTCTCAGCTGTGGTGACGATGGACCAGCTTGGGCTGGATAGTCGGAGACTTCGTGTCTACCTTCACTTGTGCACAAGGAAATTTGAAATACTTATTCCAGTTGTGTTCCTGGTCTACGACAAAACAAAAAGGAACTCTGGTGGCCCAGTGCCTCAGGCATTTGACTGCTAAGCAGGGGGTGATAAAAGAGCATATTACAAACCAAAACGAACCAGCTGCTGTTGAGTTGACTCTGATGCATCTTAACTCCATGTGTTACAGACCAGAACTGTATACCATAGGCAGTTTGGAAGTTTTTGTAGCTGTGACCTTTAGAAAGCAGATTGCCAGACCTTTCTTCCAAGGTGCATCTTGGTGGACTGGAACCTCCAACTGCCTATGCTGGTTAACCCTTTGTGTGACTCAGGGACTTCTGACAAAAGGAAGTAATTCCTAAACATACACTCATACTTACTGGATCCAGTGCTGCTTCAAAATGAGGAGTAGAATTGTGGTGTGGGCCCGTGTACCCTATTGTTTAACCCAACCTACTCTATTGTGGAAGCAACTCCTAAAGGAAGCAGTAAAATGACTCTCTTCTGCTCTTTTAATTCTTTTCAGAATTGCAACTTCCAGTCAGTCCCTCTGTGTGTCTGGATCAGCAAACACAATTAAAACCAAGAACTTCACGCCACCTTTTAAAAACAGTGAAGCCACATATGTGGAAACCATGGGATGGAAGACATGAACAACTGTAAGTTAATCATTTTGAATTGTTTTATCCAGCACGCATTTTAGGGGACAGTTAACAAAAGAAAGATCTAAGGAATTTTACACATTTAAATTATTAGGGCCTGTTGCAAACATTTTCAACTCCCTCCCCCCTTAATAAAGAGTACCATAACTGATTTTCTTCTAGGCCAACTCAAACCTCTCTTCCCATAGAATAAACATGTGGGTAAACAGGACTCTTCTTTAGTAAGTTACATGAATGGAAATTTAATTTAGAACTTTGAAAATGTGAAAGTATATAATTTTTATTTCTATTTTATATTCAAATGACATTGCCTTAGTTTATGAATATGGGTGAATATATTTTTTTTCCAGCTATTAAATTATTTTTTCTACTTCTCAGCATCTAAGAAAGCCAGACATCTGCAGGGTACCAAGTTATCGAAGTTATCTCCAGGGACAGGATTGTAGATTATAGTTAAGCAACTAAAGTGAAGAATGAAAATAGTTTATTTCTCTCATCCAAGATTCAGATGAGCTTGCGTCATCTTATTTTATGATTATTGAGTAGTATTGGAAAATTATATGCACTTTAAGCTTACCTAGACTTCAAACATTAAAACAGCACAATCTTTTTACAGATGGAACTTCCATATTTAAAGTATAGAAACATGCTACAGAAAAGCAAATTGTTAACATTTTATTGTTTTTGTGATGAGGCAGCCCAACTCACTTTCCTTGTCTCCAGTGTACTTGGTGTGAAATAATTGTTCTGACTGAGCCTTTATTTGTCTCATCACAAAATATTAAAATAGTGTTATTTTTCCTTTGTGCACTGAAGTGTTTCCTTAATGTTTCATCCCTTAAATTTACCCTCAATTATCTGGGTCAAAAGGTATTAGGATGAATTAGACTACAGGCAGTCTCCAACTTACAACAGGGTTCCAGTCCAATAACCCACACCCCAAGGTGAATTCCTCTTTTTGTTGTTGTTGCTTGTTTTGACTATTATTTCCTATTAATATCAGTATCTTTATAAACCTAATTTTTGCACAAATGCAAATG